AAGATGACCTCTGCAAAGTATGTGGAGTTTATGACTGACCACTTTCTTCCCTGGTACAGAAGGAAGAACTATGCTTTCCATAATAAAATCATCTTCATGCATGACAATGCACCATCTAATGCTGCAAAGAATACCTCTGCATCAATGGCTGCTATGGGGATAAAAGGAGAGAAAGTCATGGTGTGGCCTCCATCCTCCCCTGACCTCAATCCTATTGAGAACCTTTGGAGCATCCTCAAGCAAAAGATCTATGAGGGTGGGAGGCAGTTTACATCCAAACAGCAGCTCTGGGAGGCTATTCAGACATCTTGCAAACAAACTTCAAGCAGAAACTGTCCAAAAACTCACAAGTTCAATGGATGCAATACTTGTGAAGCTACTATCAAATAAGGGGTCCTATGTTAAAATGTAACATGACCTGTTAAAATGTTTTAAAAAGTTAAAATGTTGTTAAAAGTTTGATTGAAATAGCTTTTGATTTCAGTAAATATGCTGCAAACACAACAAATGACAATTTTCAGTTCTTTACAACCTATAAAGTGTTTTGAAACTTACTGTGTGTAATAATTTGGAACAGTGCATTGTAAGTTGTTTGTTTAAAAAAAAATACTGTCATCATTAGGAGGTTTGTTCAATAAAAATTTGAATTGTACTCTTAATAGTTGATAACATGAGAATTATGCTGACTTATTTACATCAATTATTTAGGTAAATGAGAAAAATATCATTTGCATAATAATTTGGAACAGGGTGTAGATGATATATTAAAATACACAGCAGAAAATCCCCATATAATATCCCAGAAAAGTTATCCACCTCCACCCTTGAAGGCCAATCAAGCAAAAATTATAAGACTTTTCTCTTTAACAAATATATAAAAAAATAAAACACAAAAAAGTGTCCAAAATATCAAAAATAGTCCCCGCAAGTGTAGTTCTCTTTCTTCTTTCATCAACCAATCTCCTTCTCAACACTCGCAAATCCTGATGACAATACACCTCAAAAAGAAAAAAACTCGACATAGTGTCATACCTTTTGAATAATTAGAACACACGTGCCACTCGCTGTGCAACATGCAAAAATATATATAAATGTGTTTACTCTATAGGCGAGTATCTATGCACATGCAAATATTCTTTTGTGTACCTAAAATATATATATAAGTATAAATATAAGTGAAAGACACTCACACAAAGTGTCACTTACACAATGTGTGAAAACAACTCAAAATTATCACTGCAAGTGTGTATCACCTCACTCTGTATTCATCAGTGTTCACCTTAAACCCAAACCAGCACTCTCCAACTCATGTGCTGATGGATAATTACCCTATATAAAAAATGACAGGGCATAGCACCACTCTGGGTTAACTTCTCATCATTAAGGTTTCATCCAATGTTAGGGTTTTTCCTCCATTTCCCTCATAAGAAAATCCACAGTTACAAATGGTAGATAAAAAATATCCTCCTTTATTTGGCAACTCACATAAAATTTGGGTGAAGCAGCTCCTCCTCGTAAGGATACAGGTGTAGACAAGTTTAGGGAAACATTGGCCACATTTTTTTTTTTCTTTTTTTTTTTTTTTTTTTTTTTTTTTTTTTTTTTTTTTTTTTTTTTTTTTTTTTTTGTTCCCACTTCCAAGATGGCCGCGATCGCACTTCCGGTCAGCGTCGATACGTCTGACGTCACGTGTCCATTTTACAGATGATATTTTCTCTCATTTCCTTGATTTAGAGTGGAGATCCAATCGATATAGAATTTGAGGTGAAAGCAGAAGAAGAGGCGTATGTGAGGGATGATCAGCAGTCTATCATTGATAGACTGCTGATCATCCCTCACATACGCCTCTTCTTCTTCTGCTTTCACCTCGAATTCTGATGAATACAGAGTGCGGTGATACACACTTGCAGTGATAATTTTGAGTTGTTTTCACACATTGTGTAAGTGACACTTTGTGTGAGTGTCTTTCACTTATATTTATACTTATATATATATATTTTAGGTACACAAAAGAATATTTGCATGTGCATAGATACTCGCCTATAGAGTAAACACATTTATATATATTTTTGCATGTTGCACAGCGAGTGGCACGTGTGTTCTAATTATTCAAAAGGTATGACACTGTCGAGTTTTTTCTTTTTGAGGTGTATTGTCATCAGGATTTGCGAGTGTGTTGAGAAGGAGATTGGTTGAAAGAAGAAAGAGTCCCCGCAAGTGTAGACAATTGTTCTATTTTTGATATTTTGGACACTTTTTTGTATTTTTTTTTGTGTTGTTTTATAGGGTGTAGATGATGTCCTCCTCCTGTGGGAGGGGAGTTCTGAATCCCTTGACCAATATATGGTTTGTTTGAACTCTAACAATAGGAGGTATTAACCTTCAACATGAGGCCAGTAATACCGAGATCCATTTTTTAGATCTTAATATCAAGGTTATAAATGGTAAGATAGTCACTTCAACGTTTTTTTAAAGAAACAGAATGGCTATATTGATGTAAAAGTTGTCACCATACTGCATGGCTCAGGTCGATCCCCAAGAGTCAGTTTTATCGACTGACGAGAAATTGCACCCACCATGATGATTTCTTGCGAGAGGCCAACTTTTTGAAAGCTCGCTTCTTGGACAAGGGTTATACACCAGATGCCTTGGAAGAGGCTCTCCTCCAAGTGAATATCATTTCTAGGGAGGAGATGTTGAAACCCAAGCAACTGGTGGAGCGTTATTTCTCTTTTTATTATGCCTTTTTCACGACATATTCCACTCAGCACTATGCAGTGAAAAGCATTCTTCGTAAACATTGGGGAGTACTGTAAGGGATTTCTGGCAAAGAGAATCGTGATTGGGGGAACGCGCATGCGCGAAAGATTCCGCAGAAGAGCTGCCTGTTGTGCGCAGGCATGCAGGAATGCACGCACACGTGCACACGCACAGCGAAGATTGGCACCAGATGGGCTATTTAAAGAGGGTCTCTGCTCTGGTTCAGTGCTGACTGGTCTTCAGCTCCCCCGTGTCCTGCTTGCTCCTGTACGATTCCTTTGTTGCTGACCCGGCTTGTTCCTGACCCGACTCCGGTTACTCTCCTGCTCCTGATTCCTGACTTCGGCTCTGCTCCTGACTTTGGCTTTTCCTACTGATTCTGTACCGTGCTGCTCGACTGTTGATGACTCTGGCTATCCTATGACCCTGCTCCTGTCCTGTGTCCTGGCTACCTACATTGCTCTGCTGCACATCGGGCATTACCCAGAACCTGCTCGGTCTGCTACTACGGTCTCCAAATCAGAGGATACTCTGCCTACCAAGGTCATCATCTGCAAGAGCCGCAAGCAACAACTACTGGCGCTCTTGTCCCCCTGGTCCATAGACTCCCTCTGTTACAACCTCAGCGGGGTCAGGGCTAGTGACACAAGTGAGGCCGACCTCATCAATTCAGTCTACTATCAGGTATGTGACAGGTACTTAAGAATGATCATGTATAGGGACCACTATTACCAGAAAACCCAGCTGTTGTGTATAGAGGTATTCCACCACTAAGATTGAATATAGCTCCCAATGTTCTAGACCCCCCTCAAAAAACATTTGTTTTTTCAAAATATGAAGGGTTACTATCCATGTAGAAAATGCGGTGCGAGTTATATTAATGTGCATGGGTCAAGGTTTACTACCTTTCAATCGAGTTGTACCTCTAGAACTTATGATACTGGGCACTATCACATGTTGTTTATTTAATACGGTGCCCAAGCAGGTTACAGTATGTGGGCAGGATGGGGCGCAAGTTACACACTAGGTTGGATGAACATATTAGGAATATTTGCAGGGGTTTTCCTAATCATAATCTTTCAAAGCATTATGCATTACACCACAATAAAAATCCGGATGGTACTTTATTTTTGGCAATCGATAAATTTGTTGCAAATTGGAGAGGTAGCCACGTTAGATGCAAATTCTCCAGAGTGGGATGTTAATGCATTAATTAACAATAGTTGATTCTGGTTTTATAAGATTTGTTTTTTTAATTTTTATTTTTTCTCTTTTATGATTTTTTTTATTGTTTTGTACAATTTCATTGTAGTTAGCTTTTTTACCACAAGATGGCCCTGTCCCTCCAATGGTGACATCACACCTTTATGTCTGTTAGGGTTCGATCTTTATAAATCAGACCATGGGTTTATTGTTTTATTTGCTTTATATGTAATAGTTTTAATACATCTTATTTAATCTTGGTTTTGTTTCCAGTTTCTTTTCCCCCTCCTGTGTGGCAATAAATATAATGTTTGCCGCTGGATTATGCTCCAAGGTGTGGGCGGGCCTGTTTTGCGGTCCGTTCCGATCGTCCTTCCTGCTTCGGGTATGCCTTCCACTTCATGGAATGCAACACGATTAATGGGAGCGTCCCTATGAGTCCTATATATAGATGGCGGTGGGTCCCACTGGCCACGCCCCTGATGTCTCTGATGACAAAACACGTTGGGTGGAGCCTCAGCGTGACGTCTTTGCATTCTGGAGGGACGGCAGCCATGTTTTCGGTTTGAAACTATTTCAATTCAATGCTGGTTATTATAAAATTCTTAATGTACATGGATGTTGTAATAAATCTGCCAAAACTTTAATGAATTACTGCACTAGGAGTTGCTTTTGTTTCTTTATTCGAATATCGGATGGGAGTTTCTTCAAGTTTTGGATGTCTTTAACCACAAGCCTACAGGGCACTTATACCCCCTTCCTGCCCAGGCCAATTTCTAGCTTTCAGCGCTGTCGCACTTTGAATTGACAATTGCGCGGTCATGCAACACTGTACCCATATGACATTTTTTATCATTTTTTAGTGACAGATAGAGCTTTATTTTGGTGGTAATCACCTCTGGGGTTTTTTTTCTTAAACAAACCAAAAACCACAGAAAATTTTGAAAAAAAAATGTTTTAGTTTTTGTTATAAAATTTTGTAAATAAGTGATTTTTCTCCTTCACTGATGTGCACTAATGAGGCTGCACTGATGGACACTGATCGGCACTGGTAGGTGGCACTGATGGGTATTGACAGGCATCACTGATGGGCACTGAAAGGCAGCACTGATATATGGCACTGATAGACAACACTGATAGGCGGCACTGACTGGCACTGGTAGGCGGGCACTGATGGGTGACACTGAAAGGCAGCTCAGATGGGCACTGATATGTGGCATTGATGTGCACTGGTAGGCACTGATATGTGGCACTGGCATGAGGCACTGATGGACACTGACAGGTGGCACTGCTGGGGCTACATGATCATCAGGGCACACTGATCATCAGTGCCCTGATGATCAGTGTGTACATATCCCCCTCTACGGAAAGCCGATTACTGGCTCTCCTCTCGAGCTGTCAGCGTGACAGCTCGAGAGGAGAGAAATGCCGATAACCAGCATTTCCCTGTTTACATGTGATCAGCTGTGATTGGACACAGCTGATCACATGACCGAGCTGACATCTTTGGCTCTTTCCGTGATCGGTGATCTGCTGTGTCCGAGGGACACAGCACACCGCCGATCGCCGCGCATGCGCAGTGAGAATGGAAGGACGTCATATGACGTCCTCCCAGAACGAGAGATCCACCTTACGCCCGTCATATTACTATATGGCGGGCGGGAGGTGGTTAAAGTGGAGGAACCATCCTATATCTGGGAGAGGATTTTTATTGAAGATTATCTGCCATACTAATTCCTTATTACACTGCGCCTGTTGACCGGTATTATACGGTCAAAGTGTCCGGTAAGGGGCTCATTTTTTTCAGGTGTATGGTGACGGCTCATGAGATCAGAATCTTCTCTTGCAATTTGTTTCATTTAAGGACTTCTATGGACTTTTATTTCTGACATTTGGAAGCTTTTTTAATTAGCACTGCATTTTTTTCTGTTTACATTTGCAATACAGCCTTTTATGTGCAAGCTGCTTTTTTTGTTTTTACTATATTTTTGATTTTGGAGTGTGGTCATATCTAAGCACAGGTATTGTGTTTTACATCCCTAATTTCTGGTTGATTTAAGGGCCATTCATTTTATGTCGTTTGTGAGTATACATCTGTTTCTATTTTACAAAATAAAGGTACTGCTGAGGTAATAAGCTAGGCTAGTATGTCCTCTGTTCTTTTGTGTTTTGCAGTTCTGTTTGGGTCTCCCCAACCTGTTGGAGGGCAGCAAAGCCAGAACCATGATTGGAACATTTGAGGTCATCTACTAAGCTGTTCCAACACACTTAATTTGAGCCCAGAAGGATTTTTCTTTGATTGCACCTGCCTCTTTAGTCCATCCTACAGCCAACCCTTTTTTGCCATTTTAGCAGCTTAGCTCATTTCCTCCTTACCCTTTCATGGTCTATGATCTCCAGTGTGTTCTTGCCTACAATTTTGGTCTGGCTGACTTCTCTTCTTATTCCTGTTCCTGATTTTTGGCTCTTGACTACGCTGACTTCTGGTTTTTCCTGACTCTGGTTCGTCTGATAACTTGCTCTGGTATCCAAACTCCTGAATTAGGTTATATTTGCGATGTCATTAAAAGGTGTGATTTTACTGCACTGTGTCCACCTGATTCATGATTCCTGACAATGGCAATATGAGTTTGGTGACTAGGTCTATGAATACTCAAATAAGTAGCATGAACAGAGACAAATATTTAAGGGATTTTTTTTATATATGGGATTGTTAGTTTATAGTGCCTGCAGGGATTTTTTAAAATATTAGTCTGATTTTAATTTATTTGTATATAAAGATATACTGATGGATTGTAAATGTCAGCTCTAATCCACACAGCCACTATAAAAGGATAGTGTAAGCGGAAACTGGATGAGAACCATCTTATTGTATACCATTAAAAAATAGCCAATTATTGTTGAGAGCATTTAAGGCTTTGGTAATATGGAGGACTGGAGCTTCCTGTAGAGGACAATTGTCAAAACATGTAGAGGAAGTTAGTACATCTGTCATATCTGGTCTAATAGTGACATCACGTCCGGTCCAGGAAGTGGAACGCACATCGAGCTCCAGGAAGCGGCGCACACACACCAAGTGTATTGGTGCCAAGATATTGGGCACTGTAGCACGTATTTATTTTTAAACTGGCATTGCAATTATTTAATAAATACTATGTACAATTACTTATGACCCATATTTTCATGTTGAGAGAAAGCGGTTTGGTATTATGAAGACTTCTATGCATAGAAGATAGTGGGAACAGTGAGCTGGACTAAAGACTCTGGGATACCAGGCGCATTTGACCTTCATTTTAATTAAGGTGGTAATGGATCTGTAGTGCACTGGAGTGGCACATGTGGTGGAGCACTATTTAAGTTGATTTTTGTTTTTAGCACAGCAAAATAGAATTATTTTTTTTGTTTGGTGTTCGTCTTTTTCACACTCTTATTTACAGGAATATATTCACAAAGACATTATTTATGTTCGAGTGTGAGCGCAATACTTTCTTTAAATTTTTAATTTGATAGAGCGCTTCTTGTATTCTTAAAAGGGACAGCTACACTTTGCTTTATATATTTTGTACATTTTAACTTATTCAATTATTTTTATTTGAGATTTCATATATTATGGTTTGCATTGATTTGGGCACATAGAACACATTTTTTGTTAGCATATGAACACTGAGGAAATTGGCGCTAAACTTCATTATTATAATAGGTAAAATAGTGAGTGGTAGAAAATATTAGCCAAAGAATCCAGGCAAAGCATCTACTTCGGCTGAAAGCAAAGAAAAAAAAAAAAAGCCAGTTTTGCAGAAGGACTTCCTTTTAAACTGGCTTTGGTGATCCCATTCTTGTTCCTGTTGCAGGAGGTGCCTATATGTCATAAGCTGTCCTGGAAGACTAACTGGGAAAATCTCCTTTAAAAAATGCAAAAGACAGAAATGATGTGTATTTTTAAAGTGGAAAATATTTCTGGAGTGACAACACTCTATAGACATCCAACACTTCAACTTTTATTTATAATGAAGCGTTACTGTAGCACTTGAATAAAACCCCTGAAACCATTCCTAATAAAAAGGTACAGATATTACCACTCCTTGCGTCACAGATCGGAGTACTGCTTGGAAGAGAGCAAAAACGGTTTATAGAGAGATTTGGAATCTTGAAAAGGAAAAACTGTTTGTCAGAAGCGATAGAAATTAGGATTGTTTTTGTTACAACACAGGACACTGTGCATCTTCTTATTCACAATTACTTGAGATGTCCCAAAGCATGGAGCATGAGAGATGGGCAACACAGTGTAAAACCCAAAACAGAAAAGGAACCCCCCCCCCAAAAAAAAAACCTACAGAACCACCTGTAAGACCTTGTTTTAAAACTGGTGTCTGCAAAGGCAGTAACATTAATCTGGTAAACCTTTGTAAAAATGTCAACATAAAACCAAAATCACACAGAAAGCACTACCCTGGTAGGACTTGACCAGGAAAGTAGAAACCTTGCCCTTGTGATCATAGGTCTGAAAAATTAGATTATGAATTTGCCTAGCAATAGTGGATTAAAAAGCCACCTGACCATTGCAGGAACCAGCTACAATGAAAAAGGAATCGGAGAACAAATCTTTCCAGCCACTCCGATCCAAGCCTTCCACCACCGTTCCACCAACCAAACACTGCTGGCTCCAAAAAGGTCCATGATCAGTTAGCAATTGTAAGACGAAGCAAAAATGGAACTGCTCAACTTCCAAAAGACCACAATAAATTTGACATCTGACAAAGGGAAAATACACCTGCTCTTATGTTTTTCACTCCATTAGGAGCTTAGTCAGAGCCTATGGCACAGACATCTTCATACCAGATTAGTGAAAAGTCAAAATGCACCCCACAACAAACTGCAAGCCTCAAACCAGGCTAAATAAGCCTTCCATGTACAATGATGCACCTTCCTGGATGTCGACTTTCTTGCTGTGAGAAGGGTAAGAATTACAGTCAGAAACATCCCTGACTCTCCAGCAAAGCTATCAAAGCCAGTGACCGCAAAGCGAATTGAAGATCGAACCCTGCAAAAGCATGTCTGGACGATCTGGAAGAGCAGACTTGTCTGTCAAGAAATATAAAATGTCTACATACCAAGCACTATTTGGCCAAGCAGGTGCCAAAGGCCCTTCCATTTTTATCATGCGCAACAGAAGAGGAAGCAACTGCAGTGGAAGAAAGCAAAATCTGAGAGAACTGATCCAAAGGATTCACAATGGCACTCACCACAAAAGCACCTATGGATCCCTGGTCTGGAAGAAAAATCTGACCAGCTTGTTTGTTGAATCTGGATAACAAGAGATCCACATCAGATGTCGCTCACCGCAGACAAATTGCTGTGAACACCTCAGGGGGAAGGGTTTACTCACCCGGTTTCAGCTGTTGGCAGCTGAGAAAGTTCACTTGCCAATTTTACACTCCAGGAAAGTGCACACTGATTGACAGAATGTGAAGTTCTGGCCAGTGCAACTGAGATTCACTTCTTCCTGAGCAGTGTGACTTTTTTACCCTCCTTAATGACTTAAGACAATGCCACATTGTAGGCGTACATGACTGTACCCTGATGGGGAGACTCCAAAAGATAGAAAGCCCAAATGTTGGAAAGCCAGTTGAATTGCTCACAAATTCCTGGATAATAGGCAACCTCCACTCCTCTGACCACAACATTCCCTGAACCCAGAGGTTCCCCATAATATCTGCCCAGCCTGAAAATCTGGTACCCATTAAAACCTTCCAAGTTATCAGAAGGAAATATTCTCCTGGCATCCAGCATGTGAAAATCCACCATTCCAGAGCCAAACTAATGCTGGGAATCAGATTCATTGGCAGGAATCCAGCAGTATGTCCCATACTGATAAGATATTGAGCTGTACAGCCCTGGAATGAAACTGGGCATATGATTCTGCATCAAAAGGTGGCAACCATCTTTTCTAGCACCTTCATGCAGGAACCCATTGGAGGGATTTTTCAGCAACCTAAGACTCCACCTTGGACCAAAAAGAAGGCATTTCCCCTGCTGAAGCACCACTTTTGCCTGTGCCGTGTCTAGCACTAAGCAAATATTGATAAAAAAAATACAAATATGCACACTAGATATAACGGTATCTACAAATAGATTTATTTGCAACTCAAAATAAGTGCTTAAAAACACATCTACATGTTAAAACCAGTTGAAAAGCAGAGAAAGCCACTGAGCCACATGACCCTGAATTTACAGGATAGCCACCTAATATGTTGGTACAAAAAGCAAAAAATAGTAGTGAGTTAATAGATGAAGATGGTCTTGAGAAATCCTCTCAAAAAACACATCTGTTCTTGAACAAAATATATAGTATTTATTTTAATAAATGGATCAAATATTTCATTTAGAAAGATACTGGACTGACTAGGAACTTACTGGTAATAGTGAAGGAGACCGTCTCTGCTTAGGCCCCCATTCATACTTAAGCTTTTTGCTGCTCGTTTCCCTACATTGGAATACACCTTATTACGCAGAATCCCATTTTCATTGTTCTTGTTTACACTTCTATGCTCAGTTG